AACCTTCTATGATCTTCGCTCACTCACAACCAGCAGGTGAGCAAAGGGGCCTGTAACGAAGATCGAACTACGAACCAAAGATATTCTAGATTTTGAGTACCGACCATTCGTCAGTGCTTTCTCTTTAGGAAACGCGCCCAAAAAAGGAAGTACCCGTTGCTATCAACAGCATTTGCGAAAATAGTTTCAAAAAACAATTCAGAACATTTCGAACACGCCAAGAAAAAGCAGGGCCAAGGCGAACAGGACGCTGCCACAAGAGAATCGGACGAGGGGGATGATGACGACGGCGATGATGAAAGACGTAGTTTATTGTTGTGCACGTGTATGTACTTGATTGCTGTGTGGGTCTATACAAACTGGACAGGGTAGCGAGAGGAGTGCTGAAGGAGGGTGATCAAACTATAAACAAACAATAACAGTGTGGATGATGGAGTGGGAGAATACTAAACACTATAGACAAGACGACCTGTCGTGGATGGGGGTGGTGATGATGGTTCATCGCACGTCGTCGTCCATAAAGCGGCGCACCGCGATCGCCGCCAAGCGGCCTAGGCTGCCGTAGCGGTCACGTTAGCGGACTCCCAGCCGAAGGTCTTGCTGAAGAAGTCGATGGCAGCGGTGTAGGCGAAGCTGAAGATGTTCATGCCCTGCATCGAGGGAAGGATGGAGGTGAGAGTGAGGCCGGGCTCCTCGTAGACGCCGACGTGGTTGATCGTCTCGCTCTCCTTCAGCTCCTCCTGCTGTTGGGCCACGGGCGAGGGAGCAGGCTTGGCTGCATCCTGCGCGGGCGAGGCCAGAGGCGCCGGCACCAGCGCCTCGGCCGTATCATTGTCGCGCTTCGCGGCGAAGCCAGCCTTCCGCAGCAGTCTGTTCAGGAGACCGCCCCGGCGGCTAGCCGCTTCTTGTTGTTCGACGTAGTTGTTCTGCATAGAGGTTAGCGAATAGGCGATTAATCCTATCCTCTTGTAGTATCTCTTCTTCTCATTTTGCATCGCAAAGACGAATCGAGGGATGGGATGACATACCGGGACGTGGTTCTGGGCCAGGTCGGGGAGCATGGAGACGTCGGGCTTGGCGCCGAAGGAGGCCCCGTCGTTGGCCAAATAGAGCCCGAGCATGATGGGAACGATTAGCACGGCGAACGCGATCAAGACCTTCACGAGATGCGGCCGGACGAGATCGAACGAATCGCGCGATCGCAGACGCCAGAAGTGGTAGGCGTGCTTGTAGTAAAGGCCCGATTGCTTGAGTTGCTGCCTCGTGTAGTCGGTGGCCTCCCGCTGGTACTCAGCCTCGCTGAGGTAGCGGCGCCGTTTGGGCAGGACGGGTTCTTCGTCCTCATCCTCCCATTCTTCCTCCTCGGGCTCTCCGTCGAGGTCGTAGGAGTCGTAGGAGGCTTCACCATCCTCGCCGAGCGCTTCGTCGAAGAAGTGCAGCTGGTGGTGGTGCTTCTTCCGAGCCAACGGCACGCCATCTCCAAGCGGCTCGAGCTCCTGCGGCTCGGTGGAGAAGTGGGAAGAAAAAGTCGATGTCTTCCGAGGCCGGCTCTCGTAAGAGGCGAATCTCTCCTCGAAGCTCAGCGGCTGCACGTTCATGGTGGCTTGCATCTCGAACAATCTTGAGTTCCTTTATTTCGAGGGGCTCAGTTAGACTATACACCGCAAACCCCTCAGCCACAACGATAAGATGCATCAATCCAAAACAACACAGAAACAAAGCGACATTCATTACGCAAATCGAACAACGGATGAGGAACTTGCAGGACAGGCAAGATGCACGAGAATAGGGAATAGGGGAGAAGAAACCAGCCAGCGAAGAGAGTACCGGAAGATGGATATGAAGGGTGAGAGAAGGAAAGGAAGCACTAGTCAACACAATGGTTGTTGGCTGGTGTTGGCGTGGTGGGTGTGGAAGAGTTTGAGAAGAAGCTGGCCTCGCCCCAAGGCCTCCTTTGTGCGGCAGTTTCGTCTTCCACTTCGCCCTCATTGGCCCTTCGGTTTTGCGGTGGGAAATTTCCCGGCGTCTGTTTTGGTTGTCTCGTGGCGACTGGCCGGGTGCTACACAGCTATGAATTCTGATTGGACGCCCGAATTCAACGGGAAATGTCGAGAAAAGAAGCCGAGGAAGACGACGAAAAGGTGACCAGAACGAGAACAACGCGGGCGACCCTGAACGTGAGATTGGGGATTGGGGTGCTATCGGTGGCATTCAGCCTGGATGGCGAATTCGTTGATTGCACGAGTACTTCTAGAGCTGGACGACGTGAGGCATGCGATGCAGAAGGATCAGGGCACGAGAGAGACAAGAGCCATGAGGAGTCGTGAGTTGTGAGTTCATTCCGCAGAGAGAAGAGCAAAATTATAATCCAAATCAAACGTGCTCGCTTTGCGTTCGGCTCGTCTAGTTCTGGCCGGACAGGATGGCTCTGGCCTTGACCACGGTCTCGAAGGGCTCCTGGCCAGCGGGCCACGTGATGGTGTTGTAGGCCCTGCGCACAAAGGTGGTAGCCAGACGAGCAGAGTTTGGTAAGACACCCAGTCAAGGCCCGCTTCGCACGAACAGGAAGTGTGAGCGTACCTCTGGCGGAGGGTGGGGTTGACGGCGCTGTCCGAGACGAGCTCGTACAGACCAGCGGCGAGCTTGGCGTACTCGCCCGCGTTGCGGTTGGCCAGGGCGAGGTACTCCGCCACAATGGGCGCCACCAGGAACTTCTCCATCTGTGGCCCAGAAGTGAGTAGGACGCACACCCGTGGGTGCGGGGTGCGGGGGTGATTACCAGGAGGGGGTAGAGGCTCATGTTGCCGTAGACGGTCCACTCGATGACCGCGATAGAGTCACTGTACGGCGCACACGGGTGTGAGAAGGGCCAGCGTACGAAGTGGTGGGTGCTGTCGGTCAAGCGATACATACACGCACACGCCGGTGGCGCCATAGCCCAAATCGTAGAGGTTGAACGTGAGCGCGGTCTGGATGAGCGTGTCGGAAAACACTCCGGCGAGGTGAAGGTAGTCGATCGCCTGCTTGCCCTCCATGTGCTGCGTGTTGACTGGACAGACGAAAGAGAGAAAAGAGTGAGAGGAGGCCACGACGAGGCGAGCGAGTACGTGCTTGCAATCCGTACCGGCGCCCACCCACGAGGCATAGTCGTAGAGGCTGCCGGCGAAGAAGCCGATGCCGTCATCGCCCTCGTACCAGAGGATGTCGATGTTGAACGGGGTGCCCTTGGTGTTGGGACCCGACCTGATCTCGATCACCAGCTCATCATGAATGGCGGTCGTGACAGCCGACTCGCCCGAGAGCGAAGTGACCTCTGTGCCACATAACGATGGTGAGTGGGAATGCATTCCACCAGCACCAACCATACACCGGCGAAGAAATTGTACCGGTGTCCATGAACACGGGGGCGGGGACCTCCTTGAACTGGCCTTGGCTATCGCGCGTGAGAAGACCGAAGAAATCGACCGCGCGATAGGTCAAGTAGCACTTGATCGAGTGGCCGTTGGCTGCCAGAGCGCCCAGCAGGTCCTGTTGTTTGCGTTGGTCCTTCGGTTAACCTACATCCGATGATGACAGACCGTGGCGGCGACATGGCTGAGGCCAGGTCGTGCAGAAGGAGGGGAGGAGAACGCACCCTGATGGACGCGATCTTGTTGCCGTTGTACAGCGTGAAGTAGGTGGAGGGATCGCTCTCGCGCTTGTGCGAGTTGTTGGCGAGCTGGTTGAGCGTGAGCGCAAACACAATCTCGGCCTTGAGCTGCTCCTCGGAGGCGTTACCGCGGTAGAAACCTGCATAGAAAAGCGTGTGCCGCACAGCCAGCAACGCGCCACCATCGTCAGCACACTACGAGCGACGCTGGAAAAAAATTAAATTAAATTAAATTAAAACATTAGGGTGAGGGTGCGCTCACCCTTCCACAGGTCGGGGAAGAGTTCGACCGGCTCGGCCGGAATGTAGTTGGAGACATTGATCGGCGCGCTGGCATAGTTGTCCAGGTTGAACCCCTGCGGGAGGGTGTCCGCATTGGAGGCATTCCTGGAAACAACAACGCAGCCAATTAAGTATAAAGTGAGATAAAAAGAAGACCAATCTTGGGCCTAAAGCGTAGCACGTTCGCTTACGCGCGCCACCACCAGGTGGAGAGGAATCGCGTACGAAGTGATCCAGCCCATTTGGTAGGCGAAGTTGATGGCGGCAATGCCGTCGTAGAGCTCCCAGCCGGTGAACTTGAGGTAGTTCAGGAAGTAGCTGCTGTCCTCGAAGAACAGATCCACGACAAAGCTGGGCACCTGCGTACCAGTGGAGGTGAGGTGAGGTGAGGTGAGCGAGTCGACATCGACACCAAGAAGAAGAAGAAGAACGCACCCAGATGCCGAACTTGGTGAAGATGGTGTTGGCCAGGTCCTGCACGAACTTACGGCCCTCCGGTGTGTTGGGCACCTGCGCGAGCACATCGGGCAACGACTGCGTCTTGGGGTACCTGCAGTGAAAGACCGGTCAACATTGCGTGAGCGCGACCAAAGCGCGGAGCACAGCGACAAGAGGGCTGCGGTACTACCGGCCGGGGATCACCTCCCACAGGGAAGAGCCGCTGGGCGCGTCGGCGGAACGCTTGGCGGGCTGGTCGGCCAGCTTGCGGCCGAACTTGGCGTCCATGAGCTGGGTGTCGACCTTCGACCAGTCGATCTTGTGGCCGGCACGGAGCGCCGTGCGGGGTCGAGCCTCTGAGACGGCGCACATCAACATGAACGCCACAAGGGCCAGCAACACAGCCGCCTTCATCTCTCTCCTTCTGAAGCTACACGAATCGAATCACAATGTTAGAAGCAATAATCATCAATTGATTTTTAGCGACATGCATCGAGCCTGTGCGGAACAGAGAGTGTAGCTTTAAGTGTGCATATACTTGAGATGAGACGATCGGAAGAAGCGAGCACGCGCTGTTGCCTCTCTCGGCCAAGAACCTTGAAGTATTGAGCTCCTCGGTCTCTGGAAATCTAGCTCGCAAGTTCCACAGGCGACAGTGAAAAAAATGGAGTTTTATTTGCCCGCTTTCAAAAATAAGAATAAATACAATAAAAGATGGAGCAGCGACGGACGGAGCAGGCGTACTGGGAGGACACGTATCGCTTTCGCGACACTGCCCACGTGGTGCAAGTGGCAGAGCATCCTCCGCCGCGTGGCTCCGCTGCCGGTGCGAGCTACTTCGCCGTCGTCCTCGACCGCACCATCTTCCACCCACAAGGAGGTATTTCTTCTGTTTAATTGCATATATATTTTTTCTTTTAATGTTCTAATTCAATATAAACCGTCGTGCAGGAGGTCAGCCGTTCGACACCGGAGTGGTCGCGTCAGCAGCGGGCGTGAAGTTCACTGTGAGCGAAGTTCGAGCCAACAGGGAGGACGGGGTGATCCAGCACATCGGCACATTTGCCGAGGCCGGCACCACGTTCCAGGCCGGCGACGAGGTCGAACTCCAGATCGACGAGGCCAAGCGAAGGCTTCACGCGCGCCTGCACTCTGGTGTCACTCCTCTTCTTCCATTTTTTTAAAATTGAAGAGTGTGGCCTCACTCACTCACATTGCCCCCAACGCAGCGGGTCATCTGTTGGACAAAGCCGTCGCCAACCTGTTCCCCGAGTACAACCTGATCCCAGGTCCTTGCCCTTTCTCTCTCCTTCTCGCTCAGTTGGCCCAGGCACTAGCTTACACCACAGCTCACACCACACCCGGCCACTGGCACTGGCGGCGTCAACGACAGACAAGGGCTACCACTTTGCGGATGCGCCCTACGTCGAGTACAAGGGCACCTTCGTTCCCGCGGACAAGCGACAGAGCGCGCTCAAGCGGCTCGAAGACGAGTGCAACCGATTGATCGCCGTACGTTCTCCCTTTGCGCAAAAGCCGCGCGCACAGTGCGGCACTCTGACACATGACGTCGGCGATGGTGCAGGAGGGAAGCGAGGTGACGGTGCAGGTGGTGCATAGCAAGGAGGAGGTCGAGCGCTTGTGCGGCTCCGCGTCCGACTCGGGGGCGAACCCCACGGAGCCCGTGCGCGTGGTCACCGTATGCGCCCCGCTCGGCTGCCCCTGCGGTGGCACCCACGTGCAGAACACCGGCGAGATCGGCCGCATCGCCATCCCCAAGATGTCCGCCAAGAAGGGCGTCGTGCGCATCAGCTACACCCTCCTCGCCCAGGCCTAACCCCAGTAAGGAGTAACCCTCGCACACGTGGAAAATAACTATCATAACTTAAATTCTGTTTCGTTACACGACAGCAAAGGTGGTGCTGACGTGTAACTTATTTTTGTCGACTACCCGATCAAAGCAGGGGAACGTGTTGGTGTAACGGTGCTGTGGCACGCTGCTATGGTTAGGTGAAAGGCACCTTTCCTTCTTCTTCTTCATTCATTCACCCCCGCAACGAAGAGAGAACATCGCCTCCTCGAGACCAGAGAGCCGCCGCATCGACTCGTGAACTCGCCCTCCCGACTCACCTATCGACAAAATCGGTCTTCTCTGTGAAGGCAAGCTGGCTTCGAGCACAGGCTCCTCCTCGTCATCATCAGGTGCTAACTGCTCCCTCTTCGCCTCCAACCTCGACCACGACCCCCCGTAGAGCCACAACCACCTCTACTACGACCCTTTGATCGAGCCCCCCCCCCAATCGAAGAAAAGGTTGCATCATCATGTCAACCAACAACCCCAGAAGTCGCTGTTTCTTCTTCTTCGACAAGAAGTCGATGCGCTACTCGAACTCGGCCCTATTCGTCCTCCTGGTGCTGGGAGCCCTCAGCATCGACCCCGTGTGGTGCCTGAGCGACGGCCCTGACCTGCCATCGTCGTCATCATCGTCATTGTCATCTTCGTCTGCATCATCGTTCGAGGGCCTCGCCAACGAGAAGCCCGCCCTGGCCGAGGGGGCGCCCCCTCCCGTCATCCAGGGCCTCCCGCCCAACAACGTTGAAGCCGACGTCGTCGTCGTCGCCGTCGACTTGATGCCCAGGCAGGACGACCACGACGAGGTGACCGTCGATCCACCGGTGCAGCCGCCACAGATCGACGACGACGGCGACGACATGAACAGCATCGGCCCCAACAGCACCGACACCGAAGATGAATCCTCCGAGCCCCTGCCCTCTGACCCCGGCCCCGGCGGCTCGTCGTCGGGACCAGAGGCCGTCGTGGTGGTGGTGAACCTGGTCGGCTGGTCCCTGGCCGCGGTGGGCGCCATGTGCCTGTTCTACGGCGTGCTGCGGGTGAGCCGCCGGGCGTCGGCCTGGGCCTGGGGCCCGTCCAGCGCCTTCCCCCAGCCCCTGTTCTTTGCCGACCCGCCCACGCCGTCGTCGCAGCTCTTGGCCTCCAGCAACAGCGGCGAGACGGGGATGGTGGTCGTCTACACTCCGCAGCCTCTCGAAGACCGCGAGCCCATAGGCTGTGAGGCCGAGTGCAGCGCGTCGGACGCCGACCACCACGCCTACCAGAAGCTGGGCGCCATCGCCGCCGTCTGAGGAGGCCTCAGCCCCTCTTCTTTTATGTTTTTACTACATCTTTGGTTTGTTATAAATACAAGACCATTTTAACCAGCCCATTGTGTTGGGTGATATGTCGTGGCATTCTGTGGCTAGGGGCTCAATCCAGGTCGATCAGCATGTCGAAGACGACTTCGTCCAGGCCCGGCCAGACCTGTAGCATGACCAAGGTGATGTTGGCCCCTGCACGCGGTGTGCACACAGCACAACGGGAGTTCGCGTGAAAAGCGTTAAGAAGGGAAGAGACCAGTCTCTTGGTAGTACGTACCTTGCGAAAAGGGACCCTCCAGCAGGTGGTACCAGTGGTCGGTGACCTGCACATCCTCTCGCACGTCGCCTTCGCTGTCCAGTAGGCTCGTCATCCGATCCCTGCTCAAGTCCAGCAACTTTTCGCCCCAACATCAAAAGAGAGACGATGATGTGAGCAATCGACCTCAGGTGCGCACTTGATTGATAGTTTTACCTGGTAGCGTGTCAGCGTAAGCAGGGAGCACTGGATAACATCGCGCGCCCGCACCGTGAAAGATCGACCGGTCTGCCAGTCCTTGGCGGCTGCCACACGGGCACCCGGGCCGACGTTGTACATGGCTCTTGTCAGCAGGCCGAACGTCTGTGTGCCCGCCACGGGCTTCAGGGCCAAATTTGAGCAGGGAGCCCCTCCCAGCGGACGGAAGACGTGCCGGCTTGTGGCCGATAAAGCCGACAAAGACGCCGGGCAGCAGTGGCGAGCCGGCAAGCTCGAACGGCAGTGTTGGCAGCGGGCTTAGCTCCTGTGCATGGGCCGGTGAGCGAGAGGAGGGAGCTGCAACAAGAGGGTGTGCGTGCGTGCATTCGAGGAGGCATACCACACGCACGCAGCGGCGCTCGAGTGCGAAGAGGAGTGACTCAGTCGGTAGGTAAGCGTTCCTGCGGATGCGACACAGAGTCAGTCGAGGTAGGCACCGCAAAGAGGCGAGCGAGGTCTCTCTGCGTACGTGCGAAACAGACGGAGCGGTGCCCTCTCAGGGGCAAGGGTCGCATTGAACGGTGATCCCCACCACACCCGCTCCGTGTAGGGGGTCTTGGCTTCTTTCTTCACATTGCTGCTCAGGAAGCTGTAGGTTGTTGGTGTTGAAGAGATGGGCGCAGTGTGAGAGCTGTGCAAGACGCAGCCGAGGCGAGGCACGACACACACGTGAAGCTTTCCAAGAGCGGACAGTTCGCGATGATCGCTTCGATGCCGAGCTCGGCCGAGGCGATCTGGTCGCAACCCTCGATGTGTATGCTTCTCACCTGCGGCCGACCCTCCACATCAGTCAGCTCCCCATACCGCCACCCTCTTCGCACTCAAGACGAACGTGCCATGGCGCCTCGCGGGGAAGTGAGAAGCGTAGTGATGGGGTGGTGCAGCGCTTTCGAACATCGCACCAGTTGCACCTTCCCAATCGGAACAGCACCCCCACACACGAATGGCATCAGCATCTTGTGGGTTGGGGTTGTGTGGTGTGAGGAGAGGAGGAGAGCAGAACCGTTTCGACGCGCACAATGCGCTCGCACAACCCGTGCAGTGCTGCCGGCGCGATCCGTGTATCGTCCAGCTCCAGCGCCGAGAAGCTGCAACCCCCGGGTCAGCCGAAGGACAAGCGCGGAGAGTGGGACTGTGAGGGGGGGGGAGGGGAATGTAGCGGTACCGCGCCCACAGGGAAGGGGTGGAGTCGATGAGGTCGCGCCAGAGCTGGCACACCCGCCTCATCTGCCCCAACCACGACCGGTTCGCTCCATACGAGAGAACGTGACACACCACCTCTGCCGGCAGCTCCATCTTTGGGGATCTTTTTCTTTTCTTTTTCTTTCTTGGCATAATTTATTTGTTTACTCTGTCTCGTGGTGCATTGGCCTCAGGGGCAGGCGACATTGAAAACCAGCTCTGCAATGCCTCCCGAGGGAGCGAGAACGAGCACATTCACGTCTCCGCCTGCACGACACAGCCACGCAACAATCAGTGGTGAGGAACTGGCTAGCGGGCCGACCGGTAGTACCGTTTGCGAAGGCTTGAGTGGCGGCGCTCGCCCAGGCCGGTCGTGGCAACGTAACGCCCTCTTTGATTTCACCGTCATCATCGACCAGGGTGACCTCCCCATCATCACCCATGTCAAGTAACTGCACGCACCGTCCGTTCAACACTAGTGCTAGAACACTTTACCACACGCACAGGGCAACCTGCTGGTTTGTGTGTATGTACCTGGTATCTGACCAGCGTGAGCTGATCGCACGGCCGCATTTCTTTTGACCAGGCACCGGATTTAGTGCCCAGCTCGCAGTCTTGGACGTAGCTAAGGTCTTGGGGTCTGTTTGTGGTGGTTTGATGCAAGCGGCCGAGGCGCCTCTGGACCACAGGTGAACAAAATATCAACAGACGGGATGAGCAGAGAAAAACGCAACAGATTGGGGATGATGGGACTCTGTACCACCGCACTACGTTGTATCCAAGCTTCGTAATCGATCAGGACTCCCTCCTGCAGAGGCGTATCGGAGGACGACCGCACGTGGCGGTGTTGCATGGCCAATATTTCCTGCAAAAGAACGTTCACTCCCTTGAATGCGATCAACGAAACGAAAGAGAGGGTCGGCACCACGCGGCTGCAGTAACGCCCAAGAGTCAGGAGTAGTGTCTCGGTGGGCAGCATCGTATTCCTGTCGATCGAGACAATCTCATCAGGTCATCCGTTTAATGTATGTCCGAGCTTAGGTGCCAGCAGACATACGTTTGAAACAGACGCAGCTGGGGCTTCACGGTCGCGAGCGCGAGTTCTAGAGGAGCTTCACGGGCGAGCCAACTCTTGTAGGGTCTCTTGTTCTCCTTGTTGTTATTGCTCATGAATCTGGATCAAGGCCAAGCACACGGGTTTGAGCGCTCTCCCGCTGCCCACCCACGGCCCGTCGATGACAGGGAGTGGCAACGCCGATAAAGAAGAGAAGACGCACATGAGAGTCTCGAGCAGAGGGCAGTTGTTGACGATGGCAGCCAGGCTAACGTCGTCCGACGTGATCTTGTCGCAGTTCTCGATGTGCACCACCTTGACCTGTGCGCAGACAGCCAAAACTGCGTTACATCTCTCCATGTATGTGATGCACACTGCATTTCGTACCTGAGAGCCTTGAGGTGCTGTCAGGAGTGTGGTGATGGGGTGGTGCAGCGCCTTGGAGCAGCCCACCAGCCGCAACTGCGAGTGTAGGAACACACCACGAGGCAAGAGAACGCCGAGCGTCTTAGGCTGCGCACAACCTGAAAGAATCTCTCTGCGGGTAGGAAAGCCAAACCGAGTCAAGGCGCACGATACGGTCGCACAAGCGGTGGAGCGCAGCCGGTTCTATGCGGCTGTGCTCGATCTCCAACTCCGAGAACCTGAACCAATCGACAGTTTTTGAAAGCACAAACATGAGTAGAAGACAGAGAATAAATGGAAAGAAGGACGTTGACACCTTGCCCAAAGGGAGGGGGAGGAGTCGATGAGGTCGCGCCAGCGCTGGCACACCCGCCGCAGACGCCCCAACGACGCCAGGCTCTCGGCATAACCGAGAATGTGACACACCAGCTCCACCGGCACTTCGAGTTGTTCCATCACCCTCCACTGCACAACGTCTTGTGTACTTCGTCGCCTTTCTCTCTCTCTCTCGTGGTTTGGTTCGCCTCTGAGAGCCATAAAAAATCAAGAACAGTTGGCATTGGTCGAGTACGTAACATAACTTAAAACGGTTGCAAGCGAACTGTTGCTGTTCGCTACCAACGCAGAAAAAGAGGAGAACGTCCTCCCGTGTGTGTGGACGTGGCAGGCAGTGCGCGTGGTGACGAAGACGAAGAGCAAGCGGTGGAAGTTCGCGGTGGCAAATCCGGGGAAACACAGGAAATTTGATGCGCCATTTTCTCGGGTGGACTGAGAACCGGCTTTTGCTTTTTCCCCTGTCGGCCGTGGTGGAAAGGTTGTGGCCCACCTCCGCGGCCTCTCCTCCTTGTTCTCTGGAGTGATTCTTCATCTTCCCACGCGACACCGAGCGACACGAAGAAGAACCACCACTCCACCGGGTGAAGTGCCAAAGCCAATCTCGAATGAGATATAACATCATGGAACAGGGACGAGAGGCAACGGATGATTTCGTGGAGGATCTCATATCGGATGAGCCCTATGCCATCGGCGAGGTGTCGGCCATCGTCGAACAGCTCACCGAGGCATTCCAAGAGCTCTCCCACAATCTTCGCAAACCCAACAGTAAGAACATTTTCTCATCTTCCCAAATTTCCTTTTCATCATTTATAAATATGTATTTATAACTATCACAATTATTATTGTGTCACGTAATGCTTACTGTGTACCCGTGTGTCCTTTGGCTTGTTGGTTGGACCGAACGCTGCAGTCCTGCTGGTGGGCAAGGTACCCTCGAGCTGCTACTTCTTGTGTCGTCGCGTTTGGCTCGGCTCGAGTGTTGTACTAATGCACACGGCCACGAACTCTCACAGACGGGCGCGGGCAAGTCTTCGCTCATCAACGCCGTCTTCGGGGCACGCTTCGCGGAGACCGGGTCCGGGCAGCCCGTACGTAGGCCGCGGTGGTGCGCGCGCTGCGCGAGTGCGCACTGATGCCACGTCGGTAACATTCAATCGATCGGCGTATCCACTAGGTTACACAGCACTTGCAAAAGTATGACTCGGGCCAGGTGGTGATCTACGACACTGTCGGCCTCGAACACGGCAGCTCAGGTACCACACTCGCACACACCCGGGTGCCAAGGACGCACACACGCAAGTGCACGAGCTCATAAACCTCCAAACGACACACACCACACACAGACCAGTTTGTGAACGACGTCAAGCAGTTCATTGCCACCTCAAACAAGAGCAGCGACGTGCGCGATCACATTCACGTAGCCTGGTTCGTCTCCCATCTCCGCCCTTGTTCTGACCCTCCACAGCCGTCGGAAACTAACCGCAAAGGGACACACACACCAGGTACGTGGTGGATCTGGCACACGCGCGCTTCCAGTCGTTCGAGGCCAACCTGTGCAACACGATCTTCGGCGACCTCCCCATCTTCATCATTCTCAACAAGGCCGACACTGGTGCGCAATCTGTGGCCTCTTCTCCTTCTGCTGCCTCTGCCCCTGTTTCTTCAGCTGACTCCCCATCTTCATTCCTCTGCAGCCTCCCCGGAGCAGGCGCGCATCGTCAAAAACCAAATTCTCTCTCTCAAACTATCCAACTGTAAAGCCGTGTTTGAAGTGGGTACGGAAACCGCGTCCGTGTGTGTCGTGTGTCGTGGGCATGTCGTGTTGGCATGGCTTACCGATCGCTCTCCACGCGCCGTTGACGAAAACAGTTTCAGACCGGAAGAATTATTCTGTAGATAACTGTCCAAAGTACGCGATCCCTCCTCCCGAGTCAGTCGATGGTGGTACCAGGCCCCTTACTCCTTTATTACTACTACTCCTCCCAAACTAGGTGCGAGAGCGAAGATATCCGGTTCCGCGCCAAAACAAAAGAGGTCATATGCGACAACGAGGCGTGCAATGCGCGAACAATTGTACGCTCGAGCCCTTCGGTTGGTAGTGTGTGTAGTGCGCGGCAGCGGGCTCACGTCCTGGTCCGGTGGTGTCTGTGTGTCGCGCAGTTGGGTCCGACGCTCGGTCTAGGCGACCTGGTGTCCACCACCATCGACCATCTGCCCCTGGTCGCTCGCCACGTACGCCCCCTCAGCCCTCAGCTCCTCCTCGGCCCGTACGGCAACCAACTCACAACCGACAAAACAAACACGACAACAGTACTT